CATTTTATTTATGTATTTGATCTCTCAAATGAAATAATAAACTAATTAGTGGAGCGATTTACTGGTGTGCTCCACCAAGGGTGGTTTACGGCCCCAGTGCAAGCTTGTTTAACGGTGGTGTCAGCAGATCTGCTCTCTGCCCTGCTGCCCTTTGTTTCAGCCACCAGACACTTGTGACAGGCAGTCCTGTGCTGGGTGCTTGTGCCTCCAGGTCACAGGGCAAAGGAACTTTTATCCAGGAGTCCCCCAAAATTCATTCAAGAGACAGGATGCTTCATTTGGCTTAAAGGGGTGGGCATGGGGCTCCCGGAGAACAGAAAGGGGCCAGTGCATTACTGAAGCACCCAGAATGAGACTTTCTGGAGAACGAAGGAAAGCTATGTGTAGACTAAGTGCTGGCAGGCACGGCTGAGGAGACCATAGTCTATCAGGACCAAGAGCGATACTGGATGGATGGATGGATGGATGGATGGATGGATGGATGGATGGATGGATGGATGGATGGATGGGTGGGTGGGTGGATGGACAGATGGACAAGTGAATCAACAGGTTGATAGGCCCTACCAACTGTGAAAATTTAGGATAAAATTATAGTAATTAAGGTAGTATAGGTATTTACACAAGGAAATAAATTGTTCTAGAAAACTAAACCAATGGAATAAAATCTAGAACCCAAAAATAGACTATTCTGACTAGAAACTTAGTATATGATGGATATGTTATTACAAATCAATGCAGAAACCCTGGACTAAGATAAATGGTACCAGCACAATGCATATCTATACAGAAAATTTACTGAATCCTGACCTCACATTATATAAAGAATATCAATTCCAAGTGGATTAAATGCAAATAGTATAACATTAAAAACTTTAGAATTAACTATTGAAGAATGTTTTTATGACCCAGGAGTAGGAAAAAATTTATTTAAAATAAAACAAACAGAAAAGCACCTACCTTAAAGGTAAATACTAATTATTTTATTAACGTAAAATTTAAAGAGTTTTACATGTCACTATAAATAAAGTAAAAAGAAAAGCTTTGGACTAGGAAAATAGTCACAACATATATAATTGCAAAAGGGTTGTATCCTAAGTGAGCAAGTTAGAATAGAACATAATTATAACAAATGCCTATGTATCACCATATATGTTGATCGAATATTATAATTTCACCATTTTGCACTTTTTTCCCGCGGCTTATGCCCACACAGATATTAAGACTTTGCTAAATGTCACCTTCCTGGTAAGGTCTTTCCTAACTAACCTATTTAAAACTGAACTCCTACCCCAGCACCCTTCATGCCCCTTCTCTTCCGCTGGCTTCTCTATGGCACAGGTGACCATCTGACATACTAGGGATTTTGCTTTATTTGTTTAGCATGTACTGTCTCTCTCTTGTAACAACTCAATAGAAAAATGGGTATATAAAAAAAATTGTAGAAGGTGAAACCTAAAATAATAAAATAAAAATATTAAAATAATTTTTAATCTCACTAGTAATTAGAAAAGAGTATGCTAAAATACAAGATTTAATATCCATTAGATTGGAAAAATTAAACATTTGACAATGCCAAATGCTGGTAATGATGAGAACTAATGCCGGGTAGTATGAATTGCCAGCGCCACTTTGTAGAGTAATTTGTAACATCTGGTAACTTGGAAGATGCATATATGTATGCGTGTGACCCCGCAAGGCCACAGAGGAATCTCACACACAGGTGCTCACGGAGCACCGCAATGTCCATTGGAGCACTACTTGTATGGGCACAATTTGGAAATAGCTCAAATGTCCATCAATATGGATGATTTAGTCAGAATATAAACATATGATAAAATACTACCTGAATGCTAAAATGAAAGAATTAAAGTTAATTCTATCAACGTGGCAAAAACTTTAAAGCCCATTTAACAAAATAAACAGGCTTCAGATAGATGCCTACAGTGGGATACTATTTAAACCAAGTTTTACAATACGCAAAACAGTGCTACATGTTGTTTATAGATGCAAGCATGTATTAAAAGCAGAAAAGCATGCATGAAAATTTAGGAGAGTAGTTAGCTTTGTGGAATTAGAGAAGAATGCATGGGAGATTTGCTTTTACCCACAATTTTTTTTGAAGGGAAAGTCTGCAGCAAATATGGCAGATGATAACATGTGAGCAGGCTGGGTGGCAGTACATAGGCTTTTGTTATAATTATGTCTACTCTCAACTTCATGCTTGAAATATTTAATAAGAAAAGAAATAAGAGGCTACTTAAGTGTGACTATGAGGGAATAAGTTCAAGCCATAGCATATCAAATAATAGTATGTGTGAAATAACAAAATTGCAAACTGAATTTTGTTGTGAGTCAAAGACTGGGTGCAACTCTAGATTCAGTGCCTCCCTTTCATAACAATTGATAAGACTGGAATTTGAAACCAGACATTCTAGGTTTGAATCTTGATTCAGACACTCAGTAAATATTTTAAAATTGGGCATCAGTTTCCTCATTTTGAAAGTGTCAAAAGAAGACAAAATAGAGGACAGAAAAACAACAGAAATAAACCAATGAAGCCAAGAGTTGGTTCTTCAAATGATCAACAAAATTTACGAGCCTTTAGCTAGACTGACTGAGAAAAAGGAAGAGATTCAACTAAAATCAGAAATGAAAGCGGAGACATTTCTATCAATATTACAGAACAAATGATTCCATAAAGTAGAAAAATAGTACGTCCTCATAAAAGATATTAGGATGAAATGTTTGTAAATAAAAAAATAAAAATAAATTATTTTTTAAAAGTCTTAGCAAGTCTTGCTCAGTGGTTAGAGCATTGGCCCATGGACAGAAGGGTCTCGGGTTCGACTCTGACCAAAGGCACATATCTCGGTTGTAGGCTCCATCCCCAGCTTTTGGTCCCCGCGTGCGCGGGAGTCAGCAAGGTGATGTGTCTCTCTCACATCAAGGTTTCTCTCTCCCTCCCTCCCCCTTCCACTCTCTCTGAAAAGCAATGGAAAAAATATCCTCAGGTGCAGATTCAAAAGGAAAACACAATGTTTGTACAGTGCTTAGCCTACATCATGACACCTCATGGGAAGGAAGCCTTGTGCATGTTGAAGAGCTCCAGGCATCGATGCAAACAAACATGAGCCTGAAGCCTGGTTTGAGTGCCATGCTTTCTCTGATATATACATATTTCTTTGTATAATAACCATATCAGGTTGGTGTTAATTTTATCCCATTTTATACATAGACAAACTGAGCCTTAGGGAGGTGAAATAACTTGCCCGAGATTACCCAGCTCCTAAAAGACAGAGATGGGATTCCAGGCAGGTCTACCTCCAGAGGAACATCACTGTAAATTATCCTGGCCGTAGTGCCCTCATTTTATGAATAAAGTAAATTGAATTTTTATAAAACATTACAGTAATCTATCCTGTAGCTTTTTTTTCTTTGAGCAGGGAGTCAACCAGCCATTGCTGATTAAAAGTAATAACAAGTATCTACTACTTAGTTTATATGTTAACTCCAAATGTGTAAGATAGCTGAGTTGCTGTAATGGAATATCATTGCTAGATAAATATTTCTGCCTTAAACAGACTCTTGGTTTTGGAATACATTGGAAGATCAGTAGGCTGTGATATTCATTATGCTGAAGTTTTTTAGTTTTTTATTTTTAACTGTAGGCTTTTTCTAGGTTCCACTGTCTTTCCTGAAAAATCACTCTCTCTCTACTTGCCATAGTCTATCTTCTGTGAATCCAAATGGAACTTAACTTTTATTGTCGCTGATTCTTGTGAATGAACAGTTTTTAATGTAACTTTTGTCGTGTCAGTTTCATTTACGTCTTTTATTCATTTATTCACTCACTCATTCCTTCTTTTATTCAGCAAACTTTGGTTGGGTGACAAGTATGAGCTCACCTCTGGGCTGGAGTCACAGAACCAAGGGTTAGACAAGGTGTGGTGACGTCCCCAGTGGAGCCGAAAGCGAGGGCGGCCGAGCTGGAAATGGGTCGTTTCCAGCAGCGTTGCCTTCCGAGCGGGGCTCCTGCTGGGGGAGCGGGTCCATGGAGCCTTCCATTCAGTCGGAAGGTTCAGGGAAGTAGCACAGACATGATAATGTTGCAGCTGAAACTTCTGTTTGTATGTTTGCTTTCTGTCTAGAAAAAGAATGCATGGTCTTTGTAGAAAACTTGGAAAGCGTAAAGAAACGAGAAAAATGACCTACAATCATATTGCAAAGAGATAACCATTGTGTTGGCGTATTTTTAAGACCAACTTTTCCACGGATGAGCTCACACAGTATAAACAAGTGTGTTATACATATTTTCCCATATCCTGAAAAAAGATTTTAAATTATTTTTACATGTGCATAAGATGCCTTTGCGTAGAAATACTAAGATCCACTTTATCATTCCCTGCTGGTGGTTTCCCCTCTTACAAATCGCCTTGTGATGACTGTCTCTGGGCATCAGCGTTGGCCTGCAGCCCTGATTGCTTCCTGGAGAAGGAATCCTGAAGGTGAATCACAGGTTACAGGGGAAGATCACTTTTCAGGCCCATGACATTTTCTCCAGTGCCCTCTTCTTTACGGACCTCAAGGCAAGAGCTCAAGCCTTTAAGAGAGTCAGACAAGTTACAAGTATGGGGAAGTTCTTTCAAAATTCTTACATGCTTCTGTGTATGTGAGTGTGCGCACACACACACACACACACATGCACACACACATCTCAGGAAGAAACACCCACACACACACACACACACACACACATCCCAACTCCCCCCTACCTACCAGGCATGCTGCCCCACTTCTTGCCCGGTACTTACAATGGGCTGCATTTGTTGATTTTTTTTGTTGGTGGTGTTTTTGTTTTATCCATCTCTGTATTTCTGGTGCCTGGTGTATGCTAGGAACTTTGAAAATGTGTCTTGAATGAAAGAGAGAGAAGAAAAATAAAGCCATTAAGTCATGAATGTTTACCTCTTGTTTAATGCTGCATTTCGTTTGTTTTTTAGCATTCTGCAAGACATGGTGGTGACCCCTGGCTCTCAGTCTTCCTGATCGAGGGGCTCCGTTGCACAGCTCGCAGGTAAAGCTCGCTGTCCTGCTGGTGTGAGGAAACCCTTCCTCTCTGGGAAAGGGTTTGCTCTCGGGTGTCTCCAGGTCCTCTGGAAGTGATGGCTTTTGCGCTTTGTGTTCCTCCCTAAAACACCCTGGGGGGCTCACCGAGCCTTTGGGAACTGGAGCTTAGGGTGGCTTTTCTCTGTGTTTGTGGTCAGGGAGAGAAAATATCGATTCTCTTTCTTTAAGTACCTAGTAAATGTCATTTGCAGCCTATGTTCTCCTGCCCATATTTGAGCCTCACCTATTAGGCTGCCTCAGATTGGTTTGATTGTTAGAATTCTTTCCTCAGATGCCCCTGTTTCAATGTATTTCCCAGAGGGAACCACCCTCCGGGAAACCACAGTCAAACCATATGTAAGATAAATGTTTACATGGGAAACAGACGCGGAGATTTACAAGCTTAAGGAGCAGGTGCTATTATTTTGAGGTCCTCAACTTTTAAATAATGGCTATGCTGAATTATGTACTTCATACGGGGAGCCAGGAAGACACAATTGAAAACGCCTATTCTTTTGACAAATTAGAAGCATTCATTCCAATATCTATTCCTTGTTTGCCAGGGATAATGCTGAATGAATCACAGGCTGGTGGATGGATGTCCCTTCCAACACTTTTAATTAGCAGCACTGCCTATTAGGATGAACGGAGTGCCGCTTCCCGGCCATAGATTACCCCCAGCCCCCTTAAATGGAATAGAAATCTTATGCTCCACAAGGTAATATTTATCTCCTCCCCGGCCAGACAAGCATAGAAAATTAAACAATGGTCCGTTAAAAAGCCCAGCTAATGTATTTATCATCTCCAGTTTATGTGAGTTTGCAAGGCAAATACGAGTGGGAGCTATTTGTTATGGGACCTTGGGGAACAGCAGGGTTGGAGAGGGAGCTGGGAGGCTGGAGGATCTGAGACTTGTAAAAATTCATTAAAAATATGAGGAGCTATTGGAGACAGAGGAAATTAATTACTCCGAGGGACTCAAATGTCACTACTTATTTAAGTGACCTGGAGAGGAGGCTGAGAAACCTGTTTTCTGAGGGTTTCTGCACGGGAGAAGGTTGGGAGCTGGGATTCCTCAGCTGTCAATTTCTGCATTTCCTTGGTGACTTATTGACATGTTAACCTGGCTTGTGCCCCAGCCTCCTCTAATGAGTAGAGTTAAATGAGAAATGGAGGTGGGGGTGGGGGGCCCTCTCTCCTGCAGGAGCTCACCAGGCATATAAGTAACTGCCGGACCTAGGGGAAGCTGGTAATTTACCACGACGGAGACAAGAGGCAGATTGTTTGCAGCTGGACTGAGTTGGGTCTTTTATTATTGCTTTTACGTCTACAAAGCTATTCTCTGAGGTGGAGTGAATTTGGGAAGACAAATTAAAGTTTTCTACCTAAGGAGGACTGGGGAGCAGTAGCTTCTGAAAACAGTCATCTTTTCGAGACTGCTTGTGTAATAAATCTCTCTAATGCATTCTGCCCATAGACAGAGGTTGAAAATATATAGATATGTGATGACTTAAAAGTCTAAAATCGTTAAGCACCCAGAGTGTTGTAGTAAAAGCTTTCTCACACGTGTGCCTTACCTAGACCGAGGAATTAAAGGTTTTATTCTGAACTCTGCCACTAACCAGCTGTGAGACCCTCCACAAGACACCATAGTGCCCCGAGCATCTGTCGTGTTATTTACAGAATGGAACGATCACGTGTATCTTCTGTGATTGTTAAGATCAATGCTCCCAGAAGAGCTCTGAAGGATGGAAGTGTGATACAGGTGTGTGGTGGCTGTGTCACGTATTGGTATTTTCTGTTTCCAAAGTCTTGGTTTTTAAACATTGAGGCTGCTCAGTGGTCTGTGTTCCTACCTGGGCTAAAGTTAAGGGGCTTTGTACTATTCTCCTGGCTTGTTCACTTAGGGGTGGGAGCCTTTTTTCTGCAAAGGGCCATTTGGATATTTATAACATCATTCAAGGGCCATACAAAATTGTCAACTTAAAAATTAGCTATGAAAAAAGCTCTTAGATTTATTGAATTTCGAGTCCGGCTTGCAGTTGCCTTAGTAGGGCCAGACCAAATGATTTCTCAGGCTGTGTGCGGCCCGTGGGCCAGATGTTCCCCACTCTGACTTAGGAAGAGACAATCAACAAGCTAAAGAAGGGGAAACAAATGTTGCCCTGAGTACAGCTTTTGGGAGAGATTTCTCATGGTTTAGGGAAAAAATAAAAGAATGTGAAGCATAGCTTTGGAGGGAGTTGGAGCCCTAGGCCTTCACCTCCAGGAGCAGTCTTAAGGAGCTGCCACTTCTCCAATTCGTAAAATATACTATCCCTCTCAATACAAATCAGGCATTGAAGGTGGCAGAGATGTTTGAAGACTATTCATCTGTTCTTAGAAAGAGATGATGATGAAGCGAACTAGGGCAGGGTCAGTGGGGACAGAGAATGTTATGCAAAGAGCAGAGTTTCGAGAGGGCCTCAGCATATTGCTTGCCAACTCCAAAGAAATAATCTGGAGAACTGGCTGCAAAAGACATGAGTTTATTAGTACTTAGATGCACAACGGGGGCTGCCTGCTGGTGAAGTCTCTGCATCACAGTCTAAGTACGGGGCTATATAGAGTACAGAAAAGCAAACAAGATGATAAATTGTGTATGTGTATGCAGGGTGGAAATGCTCACTCGCAAGCTGTGCGAGATCAAAACATCAGCAGTTTACAATCCGGGCTCACATCTGGGGACAGTTTCTTTTTGTCCGTACCTTGACCAAGGAGCTGGCCAGGCTCCCAAGGTCCCATAGTACCCTTACAGATGGCCTTCAATATATTCCCACAACATGGGAGGGGGAGTTGGAGCTTGGGAAGGGGCCCATATTCTCACATACCACACAGAGAAGAAGAGAGCATGTTGAGAGGCCTTGCAAAGAAAGGAACCCCAGGCTTTTCAGTAGTCAGGGTGGCACGCACTTAGAAGAGGGAGCCGTGCAGTGACTTTGGCGGGGAAGTGTTGCCAAGGCACTTGTAATGTCATTAATAGAAACTGTGTAAAAATGCAGGATACAATCCCTTTGCTCAAAGAGCTCAGACTGGTACACAATTAATAATCATACAGAATAGACAGAAATAAGCCCCGAAGAGCAATGCTAGGGACGGGACTGAGAGGGAGGGGACTGTTGAGCCGAGCTCAGAGGATGAGCAGCTCTGTGCTGGGTGAGAAGGGGTTTGAGGCAGGACATTCCACAGAGCAGCTGCTCAAGGCAGCTCTGAAGCACAGCTGCCCAAGAGCGCAATGAAGTTGCTGGTCTGAGAGCCGCACACTTGGCTTGGCCCATCTCTCCAGCAGCTGGAGTTTTGCACACAGGATGCACTTGGTGATTTTCAAAGGCTTCTGTGCTGTTGCATCCTGGAGGTAGACTTAAAGGATCGCCTGTCTGTTCTCATTAACCAACCCTGCAGTGGCCTAGGGTCTGCCCTGTCCTGAGAATACTCAGAGGGCATCCCCAGGGACTCAATTCTGAATAATTGCTTAAACCACTATTCCCGCTCCTTTGTAGTTTTTTATAGCTCACCCCCCCCACTCACATTTTAAAATTGCTTGAAAATAGTCAATGGACATTACTGAGCCGTTGGCTATTTATTTATTGTGTTGATAAGATGTGTCTGCCTTTATATTCATTTACAGCCAACATAGGTGAGACATCATAATACCTTCCCATCTGGGTAATAAAATAGAAATAAGACGGGAAAATGTTTCCTGCTCTTCTTTCTCCCTTTTGCCACCTTTTTGAATTTATCCCTTTGGTGCCTTCTATATGCTTCCTCGCTTGCTTTTATTTTCTTGGATTCTCTCTACTCTTCTACTTTTCCTCTTTCTTCTAATAGAGTCACATATGCTCCAACTTGGAAGGAAGTAGGAGATTCTAGATACCGGGAAGCTCAGCTGTAGAAACTTTGAGAAGGTTCTTAGCCACGTGGTAATTCCCCTTACCTGTAATGTCCAGAGGTGGTGGTGTTGCTTTTCAAAGCTGAGTGTCTTGCTTGGATTTGAATCTCTGCTCTGACACAGAACAGCTGTCTGACATTGAGCAAATCACTCTCCTTAAGCTCCCATCCTCACATCGGTAAAAATAAAGTAGAAATAATACTTTCCATACCAATTGCTGTAAGAATTTAATGAGAGTGCACATGAAAGGGTCTGACACATCGTATATTCTCAGTGACTGATGTTAGCTGTAACTGTTGGTTCTAATAATAATATAAGCTATTATAAAGCCTTAAAACACAAAAGGCAGACGTGTTGATCTTTGGCAACAAGGAAGGGAGAAGCTGGGGAGACTTTCCCACTCTTTGGTTGGTCTTAGAACATGAAAATTCCTAGGGACAAAGGCACTGAAAGCAGCTGGATCTGTTGGTGTACAGACTGCCCCCCTGGCTGGAGAGTTCCCTGGGTGCTGAACAGTGAAAAGGCCTGCGGGGTCCCCTGAGCTTCTGCTGGGCACCCGGAGGGCATCTAAATCAACCCTCCCATAGATGCACGGTTCCTTCCCAGATAGCGGCGGCTCGGTAATATGCCCGCTTGGCTAGGTTGAATTACACTGCTCAGGATTCAGGCTCTGGTATGTTTGTCGTTAGGGTGGGCCACAGGGAGATTCCCGGGATATTTGGAAGATGGGAGGGAAGCAGCAGCCACTTTGTAGCTCACATGGGATTGCTGATCTGCTGACTCACCTGGTCTGCTGCAAGCAGCATCTGGGTCCTGCCCAGCTTCTCCAGCTCCTCATCCAGATGTGCGCGTTTAGCTACTTGAGGAAAAACTCCACATCAGCAAGCTGGGAGGCAGTGAAAACCACGGTTCCTGTCAGTTCTCATGGAGTTTCAGCTCATGCTTGTGGGTTCCTGGCTGTTCCTAATCTCTCCCTCTCTTTATACCCATTTTCCCTTGCTAACTGCCTGCCAGGGACTTCAAACTCCAGCATC